CTTGTTAGGAAATATATGAGTAGTACTGTGGCTCCGACCACTGGTATACCTATCTTGGCCCATTGTATTATATCTGGAATTAGGCACAAAGCTTATGAAATACATTCGTTTTGTTACTTTATTATACTACCACTATACTATGTCTTCAAATTATTTAGGTAATTTAATATAGGAATTGCGCCCCCATTCAGCTTTTATGATGACATAAAAGCTGAAATTATTGGAGAAAAAAGTTACTTTGAAGCCAACCCTACACAAGCACCCACCTAAGGGCGCGTTCCCATTATGTCGTAACGTTTTATTTATCGTTGGACGACTGTCGCGTCTAGCCTGTTCCCATTTCACGACTGTCTGTCGTGACTATGTCGTGGACGTTTATGTCATCGTTGAAAGACTGTCGTGTCTAGCTATTCCCGCTAGATCGTGACGACAATTTATCGGTTCAAGGCGGCCGTCTTGTATTTTGAACGACAAAATCGTTTGAAGCTACGATTATCTGTCGTCAAATTTTTATCGTGACGTTTTAATTATCGTCCGACGACTGTCGTTCTGGCTCTTCCCATAGTCTGTCGTCGTAACGTTAAAAAAATCATGAACGACAGTCAATCGTGTTGTGCTATATGTGAACGACTTCATTTAAATATACAAACCGCGACACAGTGGGAACGCGCGCAGATCATGTCACACGTCGCTATTGAATTTAACTTGATTTTTGGGGAAGCCCTGTTTTTCTTTTTTATGCTTCTGTAAAGGAATGGGAGTACAACTGTTCATGATATAAATATAAAAGACAAAGAAGGAAGTACATTACTTAACAAAACCCATGAGGTAGTCTCGAAAGTTTCGTTGAACACCCGTAAGTAAGTCTCGAGAATTTTGCCTGGCGTATGTACGCAATAGCATACAGTCCATGCAAAGTCCGAAAACCAAATTTTTGACTAAAAATTCTTTGTGCAGTTGTCCTGGATTACGAAGTACAATCCGGAATTAGTATACGAGAAATTATCTTAGTGGCAAGCAGCAAATTCACTGAATTGTTTCCCAGCTGGCACTGTTTGTAGCGTAAGAAACACTGAGTGTGTAGAAACATCCGCATGGATACAGTCCATAACGTTTTAACATATTCTGTCATGTATAAAATATATGTGACATTGTTCTAAATACTCGAATTGCGTTTTGTTCTAAAACTGCAAAAAAGAAAACCACAAATGAAGTGAAAATGTATTTATATTCCTACAACTCTCATTTGCATTTACAAACTTTCTTTTGGAAATTTTCAACTAAGGCAAGATTTCAGAAAATAATATTTTTTAATCCTAAAAAGGTTTTCTTGGGTTTGGCGATGCACCGATGTAATTTGTGAAACCCGGTGACTTTGTGGGGGAAGGTGAAAACAAAGTTATTTTGATCATAGTCGTTAATCTTGAATAGGAAGGCGAAAATCGCTGCCGCCACTGAGAATAGCGAGAATATCGGGAGCCAATACCATAATTCACAGTGACTCTGCTGATCTGCAACAAACACAGACAACACTGAGCAATGAGAGAAGATGTGCAATGTCAAACTGGTGCCTGACGAGACTCAACTTCAGGACATTTGGAAGAATTACTTACTACTTCACTTCAAAGTTCTTCTATTAATATAAATCATGACACTTCAGTTTAATAAAAATTTGGGTGACATTCAATCGATAAATTTGCTTAGTTTAATACTCGATCCACGAAAATTGTAAAATCACATTTAAGAAGTTCGTTTGGCTGTCGGTAAGTTTTTAGGGCCACCTAATAAAAAGGACAAAAATAATTGCGCAGGACAAAATAAGTAAATGATGGACGACCCACCCAGATGTTCTAGCCTGCACGGCCTCAAAACCAACATTCTCTCCATAAAATAAATTGTTAACAATGTACTCTACACGTGAAATTAAGATTATTTAAAATACACGTGTATTAATATATTTATACGTAGCCAAATTCAAATTCGATTTTCTTAGGAAATAGCAGATATATTATAAGCCATGTTGGCAAGTTTTTAATGGATTAAATGCAAATATTAACGCACACACACAACGCAAACACTCAACATAGCCCCGCACTAGGGAAATCCTGTGTTGCGGGTGCCATGGACAACCACAAATTACACCCAAACTCACGAGAGAAATAAATGTAGGCCATACAAGTATTTCTCCCTGTCCGGGAATCGAACCTGGGACCTCTGCGTGGCAGTCCGGTACATGTTACATGTACATAATATGTAAAACTAATCATACATTTAATTACGATATGATACTGTAATAAACACTACTGGCCTTTTTGGAGAAATTTGTGCACCTGTCTAGGTACCTATTTTTAATGCTAACTAATCATTTGAAAAAACTTTTAATAATGCGGTTATCGTACATGGTTTTTTGAGTTTGTATGTTTAATTGATGATGATTTTTCAAGCGCCGTGCCCAGTTATGTTTAGAAAGTAGTGTTAAGTATAAACCTGCGACAATTCCTACGAATACTTTTTCAAACGAACATAATATATTTAACTCATCAATCCATTGACTTACAAATAAATGGACGACGGGTCTAATACAAAAACCACGAAAAAAATGTCCCAAGTCAACCTATTTAAACGTAATGACATGTAAAGGAATATGAAAAAGCTAAAACGTTGAATTTAAATTGTAATGTCATCGCAGTACTGTCTAATTTTGCTTGCTTCGCTGTCAGTCGAACAAACGAGGACTAAAGCGTGAATGACGCTCTGTATACGATTTTAACGCCCTATAAGTTCGGACACTTTTTAGCGCGGACCCGACGTCCATATAATCATCAATCGTGCAAATTCGCTATACGTCTATGAATGCGCCTTTCTTGTGCTTAACTTTGTGTTTCAAACGTACTTCTCGTTGTACTAGGGTAATGTTCAAGTAACTTTTCTCTACCCAATTTCCGTGGCAATCTTTTATTATTATTTTTTTATAATACCAAATAACAGGGCGAACAAGTCGTGCGCCTGCTGGTAAACGACACGCCTATCCATAACAGTTGGAGTTCCACCCGGACCTTCAAATCGCAAAGATCTGAGGGGCGCTGCCACTGGCACCCGTCATACTGAAATATGACTTGACAAGTCCCATGTGTCTATAATTTCACCAGCACCCTTACCCTTCCAAACCGGAACGCAGTAATGCTCTCATTTCTGCTTAGCAGCAGAAATAGGTAAGGTGGCAAAACTTCAATGGGCGAACTCTTTCTGTAAAAGCTCTACTGCTACTAAAATCTATTTGAGTATACTACTCTCGAATATTAATTATATTTAATGACAACATTGTAGAACTTTTCAATAAAAAAAAATTGCCACCAAAATTAGGTAGAGAAAACTAACCTGAAAATTATCCACTACATACCTGTACCCGGAACACAAGAGAGGACTCAAGTTGCACAATGAGCTAAAGGGTCACGACGCAGCTACTGTCCCGCACTCAATTTACTTACCGACTGTACAACGCACATGAAATCAAATACTGTAAGTCATTGACTTACAAATAAATGGACGACGGGTCTAATACAAAAACCACGAAAAAAATGTCCCAAGTCAACCTATTTAAACGTAGTGACATGTAAAGGAATATGAAAAAGCTAAAACGTTGAATTTAAATTGTAATGTCATCGCAGTACTGTCTAATTTTGTTCGCTTCGCTGTCAGTCGAACAAACGAAGACTAAAGCGTGATTGACGCTCTGTATACGATTTTAACGCCCTATAAGTTCGGACACTTTTTAGCGCGGACCCGACATCCATATAATTGTAAGTCAATGCTGTAAGTCTAAATTGTTTCGTTGTGAAAACACAATTTGAAAATTCAAAAAACAAATACTGAACAGCTCTTATTACATATAATGTGACCGACTTCCAAAAAAAGGAGGGGTTACGCGATTACGGCATTTGTGAACCGATTTTGATGGTTCTTCTTTGTTGGACCTAACTACTTATGGGGGTACCTAAGTATTGGTCCCATTATATGCGTGAAGTCGATCTCGGCTGCATGAAGTCGATTGTAACTGTATACAGTAAATGCGTGAAGTCGTTATCCGAGACCTCGACTGCATGAAGTTGATAGACGCATTAACTGCAACATCTAGTCAATCTGTTAGCAGCCTTAGCATCAAGAGAAAAATAAAAATGTTATACCGTAAATAAGGCATCTGTAAATAGTGACAATATTATTTTTGTGAGGCAATATACGAAACCCGAAGATTTCTCAAACCGCATTAATATTTTAGTATAAACCAATAACGTTACGATTCCACATTTCGACTCATCCGTAGAACAAAGATCTTTGTGCAAAATTACTTGTTTGTATTACTTGTTCTCAGGACATACAACATTTCGTTCGTTATTTTGAGCTGTGGATGTTAGATCGACCGTTGTTCGATGTTATGTTTCCGAAACGAAATAAGGTATATAAATACTCAAAACACCTTTACATAGGCCTTAGTTTCAGTAACGAAATTATTCTTGTAACGTATTTATTCCCTTTTCGCTATGTAATCACATTGGACCTTTCATTGGACATTCTTCGGATGAATCGATTTATTTGGCGAACGATTATGGAGTGGATTCCCTGCCTGCAGACTTATTTCCTAAACTAAACAAAACTTAAACTTGGGCGAGAGGGAACAGTAATTATATATATAGGTGTTCATGCTCTACCGTCGACCTCATCGTCACTTTTCATACGGTGAGAGGGAGGTCCAATGCGCACTTGTTTTTTTTTTATAAAAAGTTTACACTAGAATTTGCAAAAGCTTTTCACGACGACAGGTCGTTGCAGACTACCTGTATGAATAAAACGTGGCAGTTATATTCGTTAATAAGCTTGATCGATTGGCGAGATATATTTTTTTTACACTGATGAACGCTAGTCTTCACTGTGTATGTGACTTTAGCTCATTTTGCAACGTATTAGAGATACCACAGGTGTATGGAAACTGTTTCAGTACATACCTCCGTCTCCTCTGGATGGAGTGCTCATCTTGACAATTGTGGAAGGATTCTTGGTCGGCGAGTGTGTAGACAGATTCTACAGGCACATTGTAGTTACTTGCGTAATTTTATCTATGTCAAAACTAATGTTGGCCAAGTCGTTTGATTGTTTGCTACATTTTAATTAGACTTTGTAACAAGCACTCATATCTGGTTTTCTGTTTCAAACAGAAAAGAATATATATATAACTCTGTCAATTTTAACACGTTTTTGTCGTTTGTAGATTAGGTGTCAAACTAAAGATTATACGTCCAGTAATATTTGTGGCCATATGAAGTATTCATAAAAAAGTATGAAGTCTTCTTTTTTAGAGCTCTGTAGTGTAAATAATCGAACCTTTATGGAGTTACCACATTAATCGTCACGGAGTCGTATTACGCGACGCACGTGTCGCTTCTTTAAACTTTAGTTAAAGCTTTAATTAAGGGTCGTTATTTGATAATAAGCATGATAACTCCCTTGTATATATCTGCCATATAACTCGTTTTTCTATGCATCGTTACTATGAAATTTGCTGTAAATATGTGTTATATATATCAAGTAAAATGTAAAGCAAATAATGTAAGTAGTGCAAGTAATGTAGGTAAGCAATATAAATAATAATGTAAGTTTACAAACATAAAATTAAATTATAGCAATAGCCACCAAATAGGAATGTATATACGGAAATTCATATTTTCGGATTTACAGATATCAAAGCACAGACCACATAAATACTAGTAATAATAATAATAATAACACACACACTCAACATAGCCCCGCACTAGGGAAACCATGTGTCGCGGGTGCCATGGACATACACATAGGCAACCACAAATTACACCCAAACTCACGAGAGAAATAAATGTAGGCCATACAAATATTTCTCCCGGCCCAGGAATCGAACCTGAGACCTCAGCGTGGCAGTCCGACATGATAACCGTTCGGCCACGGAGGCAGGGAGGGTAGTAACCCATCGATTACGAAAATATCTATGTAGCAAGACATATCTGTTCAGAAAAAGATGTTTTTATATTCACGCTTAAATCGTTTTTTATGAAGCACTTTATAGCAAGATTCTTTCCATGTACAAAATTTTGAAATAGAATTTTAGATCGTACAAAATTTTGACCCGCCAAATATTTAATGCATGAGGATCAAAAACAGTTGAAGCAAAGCATGACTTAGATGCATTACGGAAACCTATGGCGTGCTAACATATTATATCAAACAACAGTAGTTAACTTAAAGTATTACATTGTACTTTTAGGTTTCAAGCGTTGTTTTTCTGTTCTGACGTAATTTGTAGAGAAAGTATAAGAAGTGAAGTTTGTAGTAAAACGTACCTACTCTTTAGCCTCATTGATCAATTGATTGATCATTGCTGGAATATGTAACAACCCCGAGGATATTTCGCGCTGAACCGAAGACATTTTGAAAAATATAAACGCTTATCCTGTTCTATATACCTATAATTATCTATATATAGGACACGAACCTTCCACGACAATGAAATTGATGAATTATATACGAACAGACTTGTGTTGGCTTGTTACCTTTTCCATCACACAACGAAAGAAATTGAAAGAAATATTAATATATGAAGAGGCTGCATAGTAGAACCTTAGCTTATGGCTTACCCGCATAAATGGAAAGAATTTAAAAAACAACAACAATAAAGCAAAACAAAAATGTTTACTACTGTAGGCAAAGACAAATCGGATCAACCGGAATAGACATGGGGCAACGATCTGCTTTGAGTGAAGAATGAAGCCTGTTTTCCAGGTCCAACAGCTTTTCCCTCTTCAATAGCCTCTAAAATTGAGGTATCATCGCCATTACAACCTATCTGGTGATATTTCTGACACCACTGGCTACATGTAGTCCTTGCTGGTTAATAATTGATATTTCACTATGTCAAAAAATTGTCTGAAGCAGACACCACACTTATCCACTCTGAATCGCATTAAGTAGGTCAGAAAAAAGTTTTAAGTCCATATAATAAGAGCGAAGAAGACGCGCGTTTAGCGTCGGTGGTGACTTCGTCGATACCGCACATAGAAGCATGGCGAATCCCTTATTCTAAAAAAATGTGAGTAAACATCTGTGTTGAATGTGGCACCTATCGTATGCCGTCAGCCAAACCCGTATTACTGATCATGCTTTTTGCTTTTTTAGTCTATCTGATTAATACAATTATTCTTTTTGCACAATACAATAATAGAAATGGCGGACTTAATGCCATAAGACATTCTCTACTATTCAACCAGCCCAAACAGAAAAAAAAACAAAAGGTTGGTGCTACACTTAAACAGAAAAATGAAGAAAAAAAAATCATGAGGCAAAATTTTATGGATAATTTATGCGATATAAAACAAACATAATACACCATAAATATACTTAATATACTTATATATATTATTAGCACAGGGTCTGATACTGATGAGCTCATTTATGGCAAATGGTTCTTCAATTTTTCGCCACTCGGTTCTGTTGCCAGTTCTGATCGAAAGTCCATCTGGTGGCTGCGTGCTTCGTTTTTCTTCAGGATCTCTACAAGTAAATTGTCTTGTACAGTAGCGTTATATTCTTTCAATAAAGTTTGTAATGTCTCTGATAATATTTGAAAACACGTACATATGTCACAAAAAATAGTAATGAAAGCAATGTGTTATTCTCTTCAGCGATGGAAACCTACTCTTTTATAAATTTATCTACTGATTTCTATTCTATGACCAGAATTGGACGAAAATGTAATAATACAAAATTCAAAATGATTAGAGAACACGAAGCAGTATTTACTTCTGTGATAACTGCATTCTGGTTTTTTTTTAATTTTCTTACTGTAAAGATGTAGAGTACGTTAGTTACTACACATACAACAAAATAAAAGTGAGAATATAACCTAGTAACGTTTATATTTACATAAATAAGAGTTAGCCATAAAGTAGCAATTAAATTAGCATCTTGTAACATCGATTTAATACAGCCTTACTCAATCTTTATTGCGACAAAATTGAAAAAAAAATACTTTTAAAAATATTTTCTTACAAAACGGCTAAAAATTTAAAAATTGTAACATTGATTAAATCAAAGTTTAATAAATTCAAAATTTGCAAGAACGCAAAATCACCTCGAACCACTGGACTTAACCAGTATTGGTGGGAAAATAAAACATTTGTTATAGATAACATACTATATTGTATAATAAATGGATAATTAAAAAGGACAACTATGTAATTTTATTTACAAATTAGTCCTAAATTTAAAAAGCAAAACAACCGACCTGACTTTTGAAATAACAATGCATTATTTTGAAGACTTTACTAGTAATTAAATTTTTATTGAATTGATATTCAATTATTTTTATGTCAAATTACTCCACTAGTTTGTTATATATTAATACAAAGGTCGAACACTTAAAACAATCGTTCGATCCGGGTGGATTCGAACCGACGGCGACGTCTTCTAGCAGACCGTGTCAGATGCTATGCCAACTAAGCCACGGAACGAACCAGCGGCCCTCACGAATTATTCTACGTACTTGTTGTCGGATCTTTGTATTTGGTTTTCAACGACTTTTTTGCCGTAGCGCCATCTATGAGAAATCTATAAAAGTAGAGATGACACACATAAATAGGTAGGTACATTCCTATTATTGCGATAGATACGATTATTATTATATTGGATGTTAATTAAATGGTTCCATTTACAATTATAACTGTTTTATAAGAAAACTGGCCTCAAAAGTTCGCTTCTCCGATTTCGCTGTTTGTTACCGGCCGCGGTCTCTTCAACGAGTATGTACTGAATCGTATAATAAAAGTACTCGTCAAAACTAATCCTATGAATTTATTCTCATTGGAATTACATTTTTGGGGTGAAATTCAATAAACCGGATATAAATAATTCAAGAAACCGTATTCATACCCTAAATTTGCCATGTTTAAAAATTTAATATTTTCTTCAAATTTGAATGGAACTACTGATGTACCCCCCTTTCCAAAAAAAAAGAATCATCGAAATCCAAAAGATTTACAAATGTCGGAGCTATCGTGTGATATACACACAAAAGTTTTTAGTAGCAGTAGAGCTTCTTGAGAAAGAGTTCATCCAGGGAAGTAGGTACTGCCACCAATTTCTACCGCCAAGCAGTAATGTAAACATTACTGTGTTCCGATTTTGAAGGGTGAGGGTGCTATGCTGGTGAAATTACAGGCACTTAAGACTTGTCAACTTATGTGTCAGGGTGATGGACGCAATGGCAGTGCCCCTCAGATCTTTGCGATTTAAAGCTCTAGGTGGAACTGCTATGGACCGACGAGTCGCTTGCCACCGTGCGCAAGGGTTGTTCGTCCCGTCACTTGGTATTGTAAAAAAAATGCATTAAGAACCTCGTCTTTTTGAAGACGGTAAAAAATTTAAACTGTTGTAAGACGGGAATGAACCTTCTATTCAAATCATTTTTGTGTTTGTAAGTAATGTTTACAAGTTGTCTTTATCAGGCAGCAGGTTATATTATGATAAACATAATAAACCTGTGCAACAAATTTTAAATTTTAGTACTTGTTATTGCAGATGGAATGGCTTCTATGATATGATGCCATCCATCGAACAATCGCTACAAAATTTTCACGGTATATCGCGAAATTTCAGAATCAAATTCCTTGTACATTGGTTCTGGTGTGATGTTCTGTGGAGCGTCCCCGGAATTAATTTATAAGAATTAAATTCAACTCTATGGTGCTTATTATAAGAATAGCACAGGGTCCAAAATGCCAACATTAACATGCTTTTAGCTTTACTATCATAAAAGTAAATCTATTATTAAGTTGATCTATGTTCGGTTTGAAATTTTGCTACATTTCTAAGTATAGAATCGTTCGGTGTGACTAAAACCTTTTCCAATTTGTTGCATAAAATACAGGAAACCAATGAAAGCACGTGTTGAGGCACTCATTTGCTCTCCGTAAATATTGTTGTCGCGAGGATGCGGAGCGCGGTAGCCCGCAGGTGCATTCCAATAACGGAACACATCACTACTCATATTTAACCCTAAACGGTTCAAATAAGGTTTACTTTAAATTTTTAACCGACAAATATGTAGAGAACCCTGTATGGCATGTACGAAATAGCAGTGATAACCTCTCATAACCTAAAAATGTCTTAAAAACCATTACGTTATTTACGACTTTCGTTTTTAGGTATACGACGTTGAAGTAGGATTTGG